TCTATTAGGCAAATTGCCAGGCTGAACTTCTAATTTTTTTTCTTTTATTGATGGAACTACTGATTCGATTCTTAAAAAGTTTGCAGTGGATTTTAATTCCTGAAAAATTTGTGGGAACTCTTGTTAATGTTGTTTAGCATATATCATTGAAACTATTGGAGATTTACTGTTTCATAATAAAAAATTATTGATTACGTACGGGTTCTTAATGGATTGAATGCTCACAGAACCGATGATAACTTGATAAAATTTATTTTACAAAAGAAAAACTTTGCAAATATGGAACTTTCCCCAAATGTACTCGCACAGCACTTCTCACTAGGGCAGAGTAGTTTGAGGTGGTAAATAGATACCACCCCAAACTACTAATAACGTTTAACACAACGCAATACAAAGAGAATCTAAAGAGCAAAGCTCGCACGGAGATTTCTCAATACACCGAAGTCAACTCTGAATTAACTCTTGTATAGTTCCCCCCCCCCGACCGCTGAAAAACTTCTAGGATCTTCCATTTCTCGAAATTACTGTAAGGCATATACAGTTAAAGTTACTTATAAGGGCCGGATACCATTGCGGTTACATATAGGGATCAACTACAGTTCTTGCGTGTTCAGTAGCAATGACAGTTATACAAGTACCGGACATAAATGTCGCCAAATGGTTGCCAAGTATTGGCGATTTCTCTCAAAATTTGGCGACAAAAATTAATCTCCAAAATCATAAATAATAAGTCATAATTCATAAATAATCCTAATCATAAAAAATTATAAATAATAAATAATAAAATAATAAAAGCCAGTAATTGCCCAGTAAGCTTGGGGCTATCTGGATAATTTGGTGAAATAGCCATTTCCCTCAATGTAAAATGAAACTGCTATTGTAATCTTATTTTTCCGGCAGAGTTTTGTATATCGATGCATTTTTTGTTACATTATACATAAAATACTACAATTTTACGTATAATTTTACTAAAATTGTTTACATATGTACAAAATTCGTAAAATATGAATTTTACGCGTGAAGAAAAGAAAATAGTATATCTTCTATTTTTTTAACAGTTGTCAGTCTCTTATCTACTTTTTTAGCTTTTATTCTGCTGCAGTAATTTACTCAACATATTCTCTATTGATTGAACTAAAGTTCCACTGAAACTTCCACTTTTATAAAAGCCTATCAGTTTGAATCAATGATTGTAATTCCGGTCTTCTTATTTCCTTACGTTAAAACCGTGTTAAAACTTTTCTCATGTCTTTCTTCTTTTCGGTTTTATTCCATCACAATTATCCGCTCATAAATGCATTTAAAAAGAACGAAATTTGGTTAAGAAACTCGAAATAATTTTGTACCTTAATGAAGAGGAATTGTTATCAGTCCCTTTCGAAAAACAAAGAGTGCTTCTCTGGATCTAATCTAAGGTTAAATGTTTTTAAATTATAGAAAAAAAAATCAAATCCAGTTATGTTCTTCGCTGTATCATAAAAGTCTCCAGGCTCATGCTATTCTTTTGCTCTTGAAATTAAATTTTGAATACTGAGAAGGTAGAAAAGAAATAAAATAACTGCTCTCTTCTTTTTGTTCTTGTGTGGTTGTGACTTATTAAAATTTTCTCGAAATTTTCATGAAGTTTCAATTTATTTACGTTGTGATCTAATAATAAAATAAGAATAATAAGAATAATAAAAATTTTACCTGTTTTATAGGGTGATTCATATAAAACGGGTTTTCATTATCTGTTTATATAAGCCAGAAGAAAGCTAGCAGCAATTTACTCCTAAAATGCAATTTATTGCATCTAAAATATACACAATCTGTGAAAGAATATTAATCCTTAAAATAAAGGCTGAAATTTTCCTTTCTCATTCTGGCGACTCGTTGAAGCAATTTCTTATCAAAATACATGATCTCATTTGTAGTTTTCTGCTTCGTCGTTAATGTTTTAAGGCTGTGAAGCATACGACCTTGAAGCTGAATATTACCATTAAAACTAATTTTGTGGCTAAGACATTGTTTCGAAGAAATTCGTCATCGGTCTCTAAGCTTAAGACCACTGAACACAGGTAGTTGTCCTGGGTTTAAATCTCGACGAACAGGTTGGCTTAAAGTTAGTTTTTATAGTTTTGTCATCTGTAAAGTGAATACTAGTAAGTTTTCCTTAGAAAGCGCTTTTAGACATCCTCCTTTTCCAGGCAGATAGCTTCAGTCTGATTTACCTCAATCCAAATAAAGTGCTAAGAACAAGCAATGATTTATTAAGCTCGGTCTTCAAAATGGAGATCATTTCTAGTATTTACATAAAAGTTAGTAATTTCCTACGGTTATGATACATTAGAGACGCAATAAATTGTTACTAGCTTCGTTTTTACTCAAATAAATTTTAATAATAAATATATATTTTTTTAGAATCATCTTATACATTCTAAGAAATAAAACCTTTTGATGCAGATGATTTCATTTTAGCTCTGTTTAACTTCCAACTGAAAGCCAGTATTGTTGTTTTCATTGCAGAAGCTTCGTGTCAGGTACTAAAGGAAAAATTTGCATCCTTTCAGAATAGGAAATTGTTAATACTTCTTTGGCACAAAAGCTATACTCTTGATAGAAAGTAATTTAACAGCGTCTATTCGCTACTGAGCATACCAGTCGACAACTTGATAATGTAACTAACACTAGTATTTTGATAAAGATCAAATTCCCTGTAACAGGTCTTTCTTGCGTGAGATATTTGCTCTTTTTGCCATGTGTTCTGCAAATAAAAACATGTCCTTCTCTGAAGTATTCCTCTTATTAGGTAGATAGCTAGTCTATGTAGTTAGTTATAGCTAAATAGGCAGGCACTTGTATTGCTTAGTCACTTAACCAGCTAAACTGTAAGCTTAAGTAACATGTTTTTTATGCTAATTCTTTCTAGTTACTTCTGTATCTTCGATCAACACCTCACTGGAATGCAAATTAGATGGGATTTACATAATGCTCGAATGTATAATTTAAAAAGATCATTTTGGTTTGAGTCGCCTGTTTGTTGACTGAAGTGGTTTTTTGCTTAGTGTTTTCACATATTTGCTGTTGTTTACGTTTAAATGTCGTAAGCAACTGAAAACCAGTTGTGCAGACATTAAAATTATTCGCATGTGTTATTGCCATTTAAGCCTTTGAACTCCTAAAGGCGCTATTACATATTTGCGTTTTAGGACGAGTTAGAATCGCAGAGAATTCATGGATGTTTGTAAACGTACAGTAGCTGCGCAGCATGGGCGCACTCTAAATATGTGGCGAGTTGAAACAGCTCTGGAGAGGTTGGTGGTAGGGGAAGAGGGATGGGAGACCCTCGGTCAGGTCCACCCGGGATGCTCCTCTTCATAACTGAGGGCGGAACTTAGCCAATTCGTTCTGTCCCTTCTATGGCGCCCAAGGTTCTTGTAAACAACAGGCTCAGTCTTGACTCCTTGCCACGATGAATTTCGTGGGCTTGCTCTTATGTCAGACAAGCGGGATTAGTCACAACAACAACAGCAGGACTAACAACTGCAACAACAATTTTTCTGTCGGTTTACCAGTGAAACAAAGATATGTAACTTTTCTCTTTCTTTCGCAAAAAATTGCACATTGTACGTTTATCCCCTACCATTCATCGAGCAAAGAACTCGAACAGGAGCTCTTTGCTTGTAATGAGTGTGTTTCTAATTGAGAACGAGTTTCTTTTTTACATGGTAACCTCAAAGTGATAAGTGAGGACTGGTTGTTTTATATTATGTGGCAAAGTACACGAAACAGTTGTTCTTTCGAAATATTTTGAATCTGCGACACGGCCTTTAATCCCTCAAATAACGGTGGGAAACCTTTGTTTAGAGTACAAATGAGATGTAGGATCTGTAAACTTCTATTTTAGTTTTAACAGTTGTAATTGTTTCTTACAGTCCTAGAAACCAAGCTGCATTATTAAGGCCATAAATCATCCAAAATACAGACAATTTAAATAAGGAATTAGTTTATCAATTAGGTTTAATCTCACATACTATACAAAAAAAAATTTGTTTCTAATCAGTTGAAGACAAGGCAAAATTTAAATGACTTACAAAGAAAAAAATAGTGTTTTACCTTGTCAACGAGTTTTAGAAAAACGGCTTTTAAATATGTAAATTATTTCTTCTCCATAAAAGGAAACAGTTTCAGGCGCAGAAAAATTTCTCTGTCGCTTGGACAGGAGCTTTCAAAACATTTAAGCTGCCAGCGTTCGTTGAAAGCTAGGATGAAACTTTATTAAGTGCATGGAATGCTAATGCTTGATTAAAAATCTTTTATTCCTTAAAAAATAATTTTACCTTGAAAATCTTTGTCAAGGTACCATAAATTAATGAACTAATCACAAATGCTTCCCGTGATATTCCATGATGTTTTGGTAAAAAGTTTAGCGGTGTGAATTTGGGCGAATAAAACACATTGTTCGCATTTTAATATAAACTCCTAACATAAAATTAATGAATAATATTAGGAAAAGTCATTACCTAAAGTAAATGCATTTAATTACAAATCCACGTATACTCCGGACACGATAAAATGCAATTTTAAAGTAAAGCATTTTATAATAGCGATAGAATGCTGTTACTTCCTCACACGTGTACTCGATATCGACTTTCATCAAAGTTCAACCTTTAAGTTCTCCATTACAAGTCCCAATAAAGATACACCCTCTCTAACAATTTTAATTTAATCGAAGAAGTTATTATTTTGAGATAGAAAGCTGTGTTTACATTACTTTCTAAAAGTTAACCGCGGAAATAAATCGGTGGGAAAGTTATGCTCTGAAGTATCTCTAAATTTCTCATGAAGAAAGGCATAAGGTTATACATTCATGACTAAACTTTTATTATTAACTAAGTATAGATAGACATATTTTAATCACATATGAGTATATGCCTAAAATTACACTTTATACTTTGGGGAAAATGTGTAAGTAATTCAGACAAAAGGAGCTTATTAATAAAAGATGTCACTACCTTTGATATTTTTCGGCGTTCCATATCTTCAATTCAGTGGTCAAGAGGGCCTGAGGGCAAGTTATGGCAAGTGAATAGTTGTTCTTCAGTGGGGCAATTTCATGCTTTTTGACAGTATACAGTAAACATAAGATAATTCGAGACATTCCGGATTTTAGTTATGTCGGATCATCCGAATGCTGTTTTCTGAAAGGCGAGATTCATGGATTATTCGAGGTGAAATTTTCAGCTGTCTTCAATAATTGCGAGTTATTAGTCATTGAATCATCAATATTTTTACCTTTCTCAAATGAATTTTGCTTCATGGCATTTCGACATGGTTTCCGTCAAACATTTTGTACCACTGTGCTGGTTACATGTTTCTAAACAACAGCAGCCAAGAAAATTGCCTGTTGATTTTAACATAGAAGTTGTATTAAGAATTTAATAAATTTTGCACAGAAAGATTTCCCATACTCACATTTAAACTTTTGCGTACTCTACGATCCATTAATTAGATTAATGTTTCTCAACTTTTGGTAAATTGTTAAAGTTATACTTTTATTCCTATATCGAAACTTTTTATCAAGCTTTGAAAACATTCTAAATAAATAAATATAAGAAGGCAAGAGATTTACATACGTGAAGTTTTAAGACTAATTGAAAAGCGTAAAAAATGTAATACAACCGAACCTTTCTAAATTTTGCCGAATGAAATGCTGTTTTACGGCACGGATTCCAGAAAAAGAGTGTCGGATTATTGGACATTTACTGTTGTTGAAGGATGCACTCGAGCACAGATGACGCGTTTTGTTGTTTGAAACGTCTACTGAGTCCTTCTAAATTTTTGTTTTCTTACCTTACAGTATTTCCTTCACTAACATGCACTTCCGACCATGCAGTTTGACAAATGATGCCATTGTGCGAAATATATAGCTTTTAATTCATGTTTCTTGTGATGTGATAAATAACCAATGTTTCGAGCGTTGCCGTTTGTTGAAATACAACTATTAATTATCTTTTAAATACTATTTGAAGCTATAAGCAAAGAAAATATATGAAAAATAATTAACTTTTTTTTGGCATTATGAAAGTCTTCAACAGAGCTCTCCCCAAAATACTTTACGAGCATGTTAGCCATTTTGAAGCAAAGTGCAGGCAGATAGTTCCCGTTTGCTTTGCCGTATTCAAATAACCTAACCTAAACCTAATCTGACCTAACCTCAAAATACTAGACTATTATGTTATGTTACGTAACGTTACACGCATTTGTCAACTTAGTTTTGGAAGTGCTGGCGTTGGGCGGAACATAAGGTATTTAGTTTAAACTCGGCGTTCTGCAAACATGCCTACTTCCTGACTGGTGGTCCGTTATGTGGTTGTACGGTTTTGCAGGGTTGACCTCACAATATGTCTGTCCTTTCTGGAGTTAGCCATGGTAGAGCGTTGAGATCCTTCATGCCGTTCAGTATGACCCTCAGCAATACATTGATTCCATATTAGCGCATGACAGTGGCAGGATGTCGACCAGTGCGACCGGGGATATCACGGAACGATAATCTAAACTTTCGATAGGAAGTGATACTGCCTCTATCGAATTTCGAAACTTGCTGGTAAGCATTTCTTATTATTATTCGAGACATAACACGATATTCTGAGCTAACTTCAACCTTACAAAGCACTTTCCGGAAGAGAAATCCACTACACAACTTTTGTTTTATAAAGTGCTTCAGATGTCCTGTGTCTACTAAATACGTCGAGATAATTCTCAACTATGTGTGTGTGGATAATGAAGCCAAATAATCTGCGAATCATTCTGGTAAATCCTTTAAACCTATTCTGGAAAAATAAAAAACTCTTTAGACTGCTAATTTATTTTGGATGTTTTTGGATATTTGTGAAACAAAATTAATTATTATTTAAGTAACTGAGTTATTTTTTAAATTTATTTTTTCCCTCCTTTACAATGGGAAACATATGCAAGTAAAAAGGATAAACTGATTGCGTAACTATTAAATCTTCAAACAAATAAATAGAACAGGTCCCTTCCTTTTAAATTTATTCTTAACAATTTACTATTTTTTGACCATATATTTAACCACATTCATGTAATTTCTATGTTCTTAGAGGCAACATTTTCAAACATAGATGTTGCTGTGCTAATATTTTTCATTTTGTCCCACAAATCGCAAATACTTGAAATTCGCTCAAATAGCTAAAAATTCGTAGCAGGTTTGAAAAACGATAAATCACGGTTATTTGCAATATAAAAAAGATTTTAAACTCGCTAGATAAACATAACAATTGTTCGTGAATAAAATTAAGAAATTCTACATGTGCACATTCGTAGAAATTAATCATTTATTCATGCTTTAACTTATTTATTAAGACAGATCGAAAAACTAAAAAGTTCTTTTTCATAAATTTGTTTCCGCAGTGATTATTACAATTCTTTGTTTAATGTTCATAATATTTAGTAACAGTTTATGAGATTCATAATAAAAAAAGCCGATTGTTTACTCATTTAGGTATCCTGACAGAACATACATGAACATTAAAATTTAGTTTTGAATATAAAATGGGGTATTCTTAGATAAAACTCCATGCAATTAAAAGAGGCCTGCTTATCTCTTATATCAATAAATGGGAAAAGCAGATCCCCTAGATACATTGTGCATGCCTTCACAGATAATGGATGATAATAATAGCTGATGCTATCGCATCTGTCAGACATTCGCACATTACTAGTTTCATTACAGAGCATCACAAAAATTATTGAGTGTAGGCAGCTGCACGACAATTGTGCCGATAAAACGGAACAATGTTGCAGTATCCGAACATTTCAACCAATCTTTTTTCGTTTCACACTCATATTTTAAATTTTTATTAGTAGCAAACCTACCAGTGGCCGAGTAAATAAGAAAGCTAAAATCTGCTGCAGCGGCATCTTGGCATATGTCCTGTTTGGACACTAGAATTTTCGATTGGTATACAATATATGTGTGGAAAAAGACTCTAGGTCTAAGAATCACGACTGCACGCTTTACCCTTCTTTACCTCTTTCAAGGTAATGCTACGACTTCTCATAAACACCAGTACGCCTGTGGTTACTATTCAGTAAAGAACTCGAAGTGTAACTCCAAACTTTCAGGTAATTGTGTGTTTTTTCGCTATATTTTGTCGTAAATTCATTGAAAATGAGTTTTAGGAAATTTAATGGGGGGAGCCAACAAAAGGATAAAATGTTTAGGATCACCTTATAAAGTATTTGTCCCGACTTGTTAGCATACCTTCGTTGTGTAGTGCTCAGCACACACGGCGCGTATTCAAGAGGCCCGTGATTCGAGTTCCGGCGAAGACGTTGCTCATTTGTCATCTCTTCTGCTTCCGAAATAACCTAATGGCTCTACAGTGGCGCCCGAACTAAAAGGATGGTGGATGATGATTCTCCATCACCATGATTTGGCGATTGGGTCCCCTAATCCCCAGTCGCCCTTTAAAAAGAGGAGTATATAAGGTATTTCTCCCGCCTCTTAGCATGCCTTCGTAGTGTAATGGTCAGCACGCTCGGCGCGTATTCGAGAGGCCCGTGATTCCAGTCTCGGCGAAGGCGTTGCTCATTTTTCATATCTCCTGCTTCCGAAATAAAATAATGACTCTACAACTTTAGAGACATAAAAATAGATTTTTCAAAAGTATGAAAAGTATGCGCATCCAGAATTTGATTATATGCGAAAAATGACGTTCTAGAAAGAAAATATGACATTCTAGAGAAAAACGAAGATGCTAATTAATCGGCTAACGTTGCAGAGGTGGTGAAACCGATTGCCAAGCAAAGATCAGAAACGTTAGAGCATGTTGAAAAATTGCATTTGATCTGGATAGCAGATAAACATTTATGTAAAATATCATGTGCCTTGCTTCATTTATGTACAGTTTGTATTTCATCCACCGCATTTGTATATTTGCATTAAAGAGTATTAAAATAATAACAATAAGATTTTTTATAAGAACGGATTAATTATTTTCCCTTTATATCTTATTGCATGAGCTCATTTGGTTTACTCCCAGTTTGTGATACCTCTAAGTATCTTTAACCGATTAATGAAGTATACCACGGTACCACTGTATTTCAATTCAGACTCAAATTCCGAAAAAAATCCTGGCTTCAAGACACACATACTTAGAAGTAAACTAAAATAGCTTGTTTCAGCGCCCTTTATAGAAAGGCTGCGTAACAGTAAGGACTTTCTAAGGGAATTGGTTCGTATTAATTTCGATTTTCCAGAAAACAATGGAAACACGTGTATCAAGTCCGAAGACTTTCAAATTTTGCCGATTTTAAGATCCCATAAAATTATTTTTGTTTCAATGCGGAACACCTATCATCTTCCGATAAACAAATTTTAAAGCACAGTTTAAGCATTGGAAATATATTACATTTTATGTAGAAAATGTATAGAAAATCATTATTTCTTTGTATTATAAAAGCTGAATTCACTTAATATTGTTTTAGTTAAAAAATAATGAAAAATAAGAAATATTTCATTATTTGAGGTGCTTAATTTTTGTTATTCTAGTAGTATTCAATAACTTTTCTAAAATTTTAATTTGAGTATCTGAACCCGAAGAGAAGTTGCACGGCCTCTTGATCTACATCATACAACCGTCTGAAATAAAGAAAATCACGAGGTGCTTACATTCGACAGTGTTATCCATTTCATTCCATTTGCCGCAAAAATTTATAAAAATTTCTTTAAAATTTTAATTTTGACTTCTAGAAACCGTAGAGGAGTTTATGACTATTCATTTATCGAAAATGTAAGAAAAGCTTAACTGTCCAGTTAACATTCTTTTGGATTTTTATTTCAAATTACGAAATTCCAAGATTCTGGGGAACACAGTTTGAAGGTCACTGATCCAGACCATTCAATCATCACAAACAGAACTAATGTCCAGATTTTGATGTTCATGAGTCATGGCCATTTAACGTTGCTATGAAAACCCTTTTAAATTTTGACTCTTGAAAATTTTAAATATCACTGATCCATATCATTCAGGACTTTGTGAACGAAACAAAAGACAATCTGATAATATTTATTAGACTTATCCATTCGATTAGCGGTTATTTCCATGAACATTCTTTCGAATTTAGATTTTAGCTGCGGAGGAAATATTACGTTTCAAAGGCCTCTTCGAAACAGAATTTGAAAACATCGATATTGGCCATTTAGCGGTCATAAATTGAACGACGTAGAAACGTCCAATGTTCAGGAAACTTATCCATTCGATTGACAGTTGATTTCCTTAAAAAAAAAAAAAAAAAAAAAAAAGCCTCGAATTTTGAATTTTGAGTTGCGGAACGCCTAGATTTGCAGCATGGAGCCCCAGTATTCCGCTGAGCACAGTT